CAAAAAAAAAAAAAAAAAAAAAAAAAAAAAAAAAAAGGAAGTGGAATAGGGAAAACCAAAAAAAAAAAAAAAAAAAAAAAAAAAAAAAAAAAAAGGCTTCTTTGTCTAGGTGAGAGCTGATGAAGGCCTAGACGAGGAAACTGGCTCTGTATGTGGAGAGATACTGTGAAGGTAGAAACAATATTTGTCAACAGATTAGATTTGTGGGGTGAGTGCAAGTGAAGAATTGAGTATAAAGCTGAGGTTGCAAGCCACAAACAAATAAATGAATGAATGAATGAATTAGATAAATGAATGAATGTATAGAGGGATAGATAGATTAGAAATTCTGAATGCCTAGAAAGAATTCCAAAAAGTAATTTAAAGTAAAATAAAAATGAGAACAAAAAGGACTAAGAGTCTTAGCTCTCTCTTTTGAAGATATTTAGATAGATGACAATATTTGCAATCCAGAGGAAAAAATAACTTTAAGTTAAGTCAGTGTATTTGAGGCACTTATGCCAGGAAGGAGCAGGCATGAACGAGGGGAGAAGGCTTTCAGAAGTGTCCCAAAGAAACCAAATTTGAAAATGTTACACAGCCAGCCATCAAGATATGTATAATGGATAGAAGTAATAATATAGGTAATTCAAAACTGCTGATAATCTAATTGTCATTTTATAAATATATATGTGGCTGTGGCCTGCATTCTATGACTTTGGACATTGCATTCCTAATTAGCTCAATATTTTTTTCCCAAATTTTTAATTTGGGGTTGGGGGAGGCAATTGGGGTAAAATTACTTGCCTGGGATCATACAGCTAGTGAGTGTCAAGTGTCTGAGGCCAAATTTGAACTCAGGTCCTCCTGACTCCAGAGCTGGTGCTCTATCCACTGAACCACCTAATTAATATTAATGCAAGTGCATCACATACACAAACACAAACGTGTTTGGCCAAGAACATGCCTTCAGAAGCATTATTTTTTTAATTTAATATTCTATTTTTCCAATATTTCCCCAATTTCCAATTTCCCCAATTCTAGTTCAATATTTTAAAAAGAGTTTGTGCTTCTTGAGCATAACACCTAGTGACTGTATGGGGAGATTGAGTCCCAAATAAAAGCAAAGGAGCAGAAGGAAAACTTTGAGGTTTAGAAACTTGTCACAGATGTTTCACAACAGCTATGCTTAGCCACATAGCTACTATGACTTGGCATGAAGATGACTAAAATAAAAAAAAAAAAAACTGAAAATTATCTCAATTTCAGTTCTACAAAATGAGAACAAAGAGAAAGATAAGAAACCCTATGTATGACATATCAGACTATGGCGACAGCTGTCCCACTAATCTTGAAAAATGATATTTGAGGTAAGTACAGATAGACCCACAGTTAGAGGGAAGAGATTTTTTTTAATGAACATGGAATGTGGAATCAAAGCAGATGCTCATTGACTGGGGAATGACAAATTACGGTACATGACTGTAATGGAATATTACTATTCTATAAGAAACAATGCATGTGATAAATACAGAGAAACCTGGGAAGATTTACACGAACTGATGCAAAGTGAAGTGAGCAGAGCCAAGAAACAACATACACAATCATTACAACAATGAAAACTACCCACTAAAAAATAAAAAATGAATTTAACAAAATTATAAAGATCAAGCATGACTCAAATTCAGTGATATGAGAGGACTTCTCCAACCCATCCTTTTGCGGAGGTAGGATGTCCTCAGGTGGTACACACTGCACATGCTTTCAGCCTCTTTCGTTGTACTGATCAGTTGTGCTGATTTTTTTTCTTCTTTAAAAAAATGTGGGATGGCTCTCTGGAAGTGGAAGAGGGAAGGTTACTAGGAATAAAACTATGATGATGTAAAAAAAAAAAGGCATCATTAAAAAGTTATTTGAAAGAATATTTGGAATGCAGTAGAAAAAGTAATTTTGTCATTGGATAGGAGAATAAAGAATACAAGGAGAAAACTAATATCAAAACACACACACACAAAAGAAAGAATTAATTCATCTTCCACACCGACTCAACAAAAAGAGGCAAACAAATATGTAAAATGTTGAGAAGATTTGAGCCTAATTCACATACTTTATAGGTTGGTAGCCTAGGGCAGCTAGATGGCACAGTGGATAGAGTTCCAGGCCTGCCAGGAAGACTCATCTTCCTGAGTTCAAATCTAGCCTTAGACACTTATTAGCTATATGACCCTGGGCAAGTCACTTAACTCTGCCTCAGTTTCCATATCTATGAAATGAGGTGCAGAAGGAAATGCCAAACCACTCCAGTATCTTTGCCAAGAAAACCCCAAATGGTGTCACAAAGTGTTGATATGACTGATAAAACAACAGAATAAAGCCTAGAAATAAAATCTGATCATAATCAAAAGCTACGCACCAAGTCTATCCATCATGTGAAATGAAAGGAACAGAATACGATTATAGATGTGTGTAGCACATTTCACCAGGGTACCTACCTGGAGAATTGAATTTAGGTAAAAATATATTGATACACAATCATTATGGACATTGTTATTATTTGTCTAAAAAAAACTTAACTAAACTTAATTTTTAAAATTTAACAATCAAATTTTACTTTAAAAAAGAGATCCAAAATAAAAAATTTTTTTTTTATTTTAAATGTGTCTAGTCACATAGTATAGGCCATAGTATAGGAAAAGAGCGTGGTGAAGAAGTCATTCTGCTCTCCCACTTGGATGCCAAAAAGCTAAGAACATTGCTGATCTCTGACATATTTCTAATCAAAAGACCAGTCAAACACACACCAAAATTTCATTCCAACATATCTGACTTCAGATTCGTAAGTTATATACATGGGCTGTCTTTTATCTTCCTGATGTGGTTGCTGACTTCCAATAAAAATCACCCATGTAGATGGCATTTGCTTCCAAGTGGTGAGGGAAATCAACAGGAGAGGCTGACCACGTCTGTCTCCATTAAGCTTCTACTTCCACTCCAATATTTTTCCACATCTCTCATATTTGTCCCCATCTCTCCAATCATGGACCTCCTCCGCAATTCTAGTTCAAGCCTTTATTACTTCTCTCCTGGACAATTAAATAGCCTCCTAATTGGTTTCCCAGTCTTCAGACTCTGCTCTCTCCAATCTACCCTCCACAGAGTTGTCAAATTTCTATTATTTTTCATTTTTCATTTTTTAGGCAATTGGGGTTTAGTAACTTGCCCAGGGTCATACAGCTAGTAAGTGTCAAGTGTTTGGTCTGAGGCCAGATTTGAACTCAATTCCTCCTAACTTCAGGGTCGGTGCTCTATCCACTGCACCACCTAGCTGCCCCGAAATTTCTATTGTTTTTCAAACATCAGTGTGATTATGTCACTAACCTACTCTAAAAGCTCCTCTACCTCCCTCTTGTCTCTGGAATAAAAGGCAATCTCCTGTCTTTGGCTTTTCAAATCCTTCTCTATATTCTCTAGCCCGTCTTTTCAGATTGGGAGCACATTATCTCCCATTCTACACTTTATACTACAGCCAGACTGGTCTCATTGATGCTCCATACACACATTCCATCTCCTATCTCCAGGTCACAGCACTGTCACCCATACTTGGAATGTTCTCTCTTCACATCAACTTTCTGGAATTCTTAGCCCTGTTCAAGGCTTAGCTCAAACACCACTGCCTACATAAAACCT